AGAAGACAAACAGTGCAACAGGGATTCCTTTCGTATGCTCTCATCCTTTGTGTACGTAGACAAATAAAGTGAATTAAAAAGATCTAGTTAGGTTTTATGGTGTGTGTGCGTGCTTTCATGTGTGTGTAGTTAAACAAAATTGGCTACAGCCAGGGAAGACCAGGGGTAAAGGTCATACGCTTTTGGCCACACAAAGTGAGCGATTGATAATGCCCCGGGTTGACTTAGTCGGTGCTCGTCGCGATGACAAAACAGACCGCGAACGCGTTCACCGGGTCTACCTTTTGACCGCTTTCAACGAATTGACGTCGTCAGATTCACTGATTCTTGCGCGTACTTAGGGATGCTTTCCACTATTCTAGATTGCAGTGGTCGGTCGTTTCTACAAATGTGTGCTCCAATGAACAATGCAGCGTTTCACACAGTGTATAGAAACGTTCTACGAAGAGGCTACTATGCTGCAGCATTACATCTCCGTTCCATCGCAAGGCTTCTCCCCTGCCCCCATTCAAAGATTGCCATTCAGCCGAGTCCACTTCCCATTGCATTTATGCCTACTGTTGCAGCTGCAACGGAGCAAACGTTGATAGGACCGCCGCCGCCGCCATCGCCACCACCACAACCAACAACAACACCAACGCCTTTAGGGTTCGTCTGATTTGGTTAAAAAACTCACTGATGTGCCCATTTGTATACAGACGCGTGCCACAATTAGTATGTCGAAGATTTGAAAAATATCCATATCCAATTATTATCACCGGTTTTAGCAACTCTTCTGTTACTGGGTGTGCATATCCGACCCTCTTATGTCCCATTTTCATTATCTTCTTGTTCTCGGGATGTGGATTTTCACAAATATCTTCATTTCTGGAAATCATACGTTGAAAAGATTGCCCATGTGAAGATCACATGCGAATGCTAGTAGAATCATCCTCAAGGATACCTTATCCGGAGCAAAATCCAGCAATCAAAAATAAATGTATGGAAGGAAAGTTATTTAAAAATTCACCTACACGAAAACTAGCATGAAGGGATTTCACAAGTATAGAATTTATCCCAAACAATGCGCCCTGATCGGATATTTCGCTTCCCCTTTCACTCCACAACAGTACGCAATCTATATACCAGTCTACTGCGGACTGATGTGGAAAAGACCAGATCCATTCGCGACGAGGCAATTCTTCGCCAGTGTGAAAAGTATCTCGAAGAAGATATCACCGTGAGATCAATGCGCGGTTCCATCGGTTGCATACGTGCTCTCAAAGCTGTACTGTCTTTCTTTCACCTGGTTTTGAATATGACGGAACACCTCCGTGGGTCTGTCATTCGAATCGCCGGAACACTGGTCCTGGCAATGAGCGATTTTCTACCGAGGTAAATTGAAATGGATGGTGATCGATGTCTTTTTCAAAGATAGCATTTGATATATCTGAGGCAAAAGCGCACAATCATGTGATGCATTTTGTTGTGTACAGAACAAAGACAGCTTGAGCTTAAAACCTAGGGAGCATTGCGCAATTGTTTGGGCAACTATTACGATGTATACACTTACGAAAACATCTCAACTAAATATAATTTGCAAAACGTTTCATCGCTCGATAGTTTCATTTGAAAAGCAAAACGTGAAAAGGCACTTCCAAATTGCAAAATACGGTGGAAAATACAATTTCTCGAGGTGATTCCATATCACGGACTTGGAGAAATGCATGAAATGATGTGTTGCCTTCGTGGAAAGAATTCTATCCGATCCTGGGTACACTTTGCACACCGAGATCGCATGTCATCGCTCACTTCCCCCCAAGCACTTTGAATTTAGACTTGTGTCATCTCGGACAAAAGTATACAGGAATTCTCTATTACCATAGTCTAGTAGAGAGAGGGAGGGTAGCTAGCAGATCGAATCTATGCCAATCCAGGACAATCAGTCAATTTTTGTTATCTCAGTGTATGCTTAATGTGACAGTAAACAGGTGAGATCATTTCAACTGAAATGTAAGCCTTTGTGCTTACAAAAGTTAAAAAATGCGGTAGACTACCACAGTATATCACTCAGGATTGAACTTTGACATCCTTAAGCAATTTCCGGAACAACTGCTGTCCGGTAAATTCGTCAAGGGTGCTCTATTTAAGCGCTAATTACTTGTAACCAGACGGCCTATTACGTAGAATTAGGGTGATTTGAATGGTCTATTGGGAATCAAAAATACATAGACTAATTGATTTCAGCCACTGAAAACTTGCTACCCCCATGACAGCATCACAAAGATTAGTCTTCATCAGTCGGGAGACACGACATGTGGGGCTGGAAATCGTCTAAAGTTCACTAAAGTCTGTCTGTCAAGTCAGTCACTAGGTAACATGAATTCGAGGTAGAAAAATGCACGATACGGAGAGTTTAGGTAAATTTATTGTTTCTCGATTCCCGTGATGGTTGAAGACATGGTTGAAGGTATAAATCAAACAATCAATAGGAGTGAAGCTTTTGTCTTGTATCGTAAGAATAGTTAAAGACACGACCATTCATAGGTGTGTGAGCGTTTACCATACTGGTTTGTTTTATTCTTTTCTCTTTCTAAGGGAACTTCCATCCCTGATACAACTTGCACAATCAAAATTCACCATACGATGGTATTCAGTTCACACGCACGCACGTACGCACACACGCACACACACTCTGGCGCTAACCCGGGAGTTTGTCTTCAGGGGATCTTTCTTCAATATAATGATGAAATTGCTGAAACTAGCGACTATCTGTCACTGTTTCAGTTGTTCTATACTACTAAAACATTTTGTTAGTGATTATTGATCCGAATTTCCTATCAGATAGTGATTTCACAAGTATTGAATGCATGATAAAATCCATATTGACGCGGTTCTACAATTCTCCATTAATACGAATTTCCGTTATCGTCTCTCTTTCTTTATTCCAGAAACCAACCACCAAATTTAGCAGAAGTTGTCATACTGCTGGAGCAGCTATTCTCCTTAATGTCCCAACTCCCCATATATGTCACTCGACAGCCATCTGTTTGGTTGCGGCGATACTGTCCTTCAAACAGTCACATAGCAACCGAAACTCATGCCCCGAACCACGACAAAGAACTACGCTCCGCATTCGGTATTTCCGTGCTACATCAGTTACGTCGCATTGATTCCCAAATGGCTACAACACTTTTGAATGAATGGGCATTCAGTCAAGGTAGATGATGTTCTCACCTGTCCCATTACCAACGAATGCACCTAATGACGTATGCAAACCAATATTTCTTTCTGAGGGATAAAATTTGTTAACGCACGAGTTGGTGAAAGATTATTTTCAAATCGTTGTGGAGTTATAGATGAATACTTGGTTGAAGAGGTTATAGCACCGAGTGGTACACAGCTGATTGTCACAAACGAACGGATTAGTGGATTGATTTATTTTCCATTAGATGCAGAACTTTCGACGAACCGCTTTCTCACAGACACCATCAGGCTTTTGTAAATGTTCCAATACCTGTGCACCTTTTCACAATGTGTTTTTGGTATTTCATGTGAGCATTTGCATCCGGGAGTTCTGGTCAGTTGCACACACTATCCGTCAAAGCAGGGGTTCAATTGTTCTTACACAAATGGTAAACAAGAATAGTGTGCTAGTATCGGTCAGTTCGTAAAACATTGACGGGGGCAAAACGTTTAAAGAATTTTGAGAATGTCACGTTTTGGTAGCAATATTATAGATAAAATTAAAGACCTACGAGGACTATAACATAATTCCTCGTGAATTACTGATTCGGAAAGGTTTCATGAGATGGAGGCTCCATCAGCTATGAAATGCCAATAGACCGCGATTAGTTATAGACCTGTATGTAATTTGAACCCATGAAACTGTATACCTTTAAGATATATACTGTTTAGTTAGCGGAATAATTAAGAATTGTCGTCATTTAGTCTATGAAATGTTTCTGTTGGCGTCAATCATACATGTAGACCCTGAGTGCAAAAGCAACCATCGCCACCTAAAATCCTTACGTTCAGCGGTATTCTGAGAACCTTTGTTTGCCTGTGAACCAATTCCTGAAAATGAATTGTTTGAATGAATATTCAATGAAAAAAGTTGCGAACGATTTTTATTAACACCAAGGCTCTCCTTGTTTTTATTATCAACAGTATTATTATTGTTAATGATCCTATCGTTGAGCGCTGCGAAATGTTACTAGTTTGTTCAATCTGTTTAATCGGGTACGTAAAGGAACGCGAAACGCACAGAAATATGGCCTGTGGTTTGTACGAAGAACGAATTTAGTTTATGTCCATGGTAAGAGAAGTGTGTGGTAATAACTTCTGAGTTTTGAAAAAAGGGTTGCGCAATCTGACTAGCTTGTGTTGATGATCAAAACACAAATGATGGTAATGTGAAGCTAGTTTGAACGGTAAAATCGGGTCAGCGTTGTGGCTCTTTCGTGTCAGATACATGTTTGACATCGATAACCCTGAATTTCGTACTTTGTAGCATTGATTTTACCAATAGGACGGCGTTTTCAGAGATCTGTGGTGATATGCATTCTTGCTTTCTGTCAGGGTAATTGTTGGAATAACTACAGTTGAGCTGATGTAGTATACCTAAGGCAAAAGCAGAAGGACAAAGGCATCCACATGTTTCCAGAGTAATCTATCAGCTTGTCGGTAGAATACGGGATTGTGCCGCGGGGCTTCTGTAGTGATTAGTAGTAGTAGTAGTAGTAGTAGTAGTAGTAGTAGTAGTAGTAGTAGTAGTAGTAGTAATACGCACTGAACTCGGAATGCGAACCACGCACTACAGATCACGGAATACTAATCGAGGATAAGCAATCACGGACTGGATAAACGTAAGCACTGGACCGCAGTTGCACTAGCACGTAACTGAGGAGCGAGGAAAAGGCCACAGAAATAAAGAAAAGGGATTACATAATATGTACAAAGTAGGCTCTTTGGTTATCCGGGATTCTACCAATCGCGTTCGAGTATTGCTTGCATCATTCTGCTTCTGTTTTGGTCACACGGTCCCAGATTGGCTGGTATAGTCTGCTTACGGTATAAAGTGAGAAGCAGTGACAAGTACGCGCGTTGTTGACGTCACACTTGCGGTTTGTTGGATCGCATTTGTCCAAAAGCTGTAACGCGTCGCTCTAGGGTATGCGTCATCTCGTAGGCCCGGATCACCACAGCTCTGCTGAGTTTGTGAACCTCAATAGTGAGTAAACGGTCTCCTTTAAAGAGGAGTCTGATTCAACTAAATGTCGACAGTGTTGTAGAATATATATGGATTCTCCTGGGTGACCATCAAACAGCTTTTATTCTTCGCGGGGAACCTCAGCCAATCGGAAATAGATAGATCTATCAATGCCCATATTTGATTAATGTAGAGCTTGCATGATGAAAATATTAATCGCTCCCGGATCCATTTTCGCAGGATGGAGTGTGAATGGTGACGGTTGTTTGCCTCGAGGATTTCATGTCTGAGAGATTGGAACACTCATTTGTCTCTTCTGCGCAAGAAACAAAAAGCTTGGAGTTGATGGATAAAGTTAAATGTTATATTTCTTTAAAGCATATGCATATCGTTTGTGCAAAATTAACGAAAATGTAGCCCCGGCATTGTCTCCTCAATAGTTGAGAAAAATATGTCAACTAATATTGTGGCCAACTCGTTACCCAGTGTGAATCCGTCAGTTTATCTGTTATATGTGTTATGAATCCACAAAACAGTGTCGGGAAGAGAACAATAGTTTATTACGAACAACGGTAAAGGTATGGATAAATTGGCGCACATACAACAAAACTTCTAATTTGGAACAGATCACTATAATTCCAACTAGCACGCAAAATAATCAATGGAACGATTCGATAGTAGATGCGCATTTTCTCTTATCACAATATCGGACACAGTAATTTGTTCTAGGAGGTCTTGTTCAATTTTGACCGTCGCCAGCAACCACCACCCGCTTGCTTTTGCCCCCCTAACCATACTACTCACAAATGTGATTAGTACAGCACAACGCAAGTACCTGCCGAATCAATTAGAACGTGATTAGTGCGTAATTGATTAAGATATCGAGGATTATGGGAGGTGAACTATTCGATAAGGAAATACAATCGCATAAAACAACCACTGAATAACGAAAAGGCAATTCGTAAAATAGGAAATTCACCAGGACGGAAAACTGTGAGAATTCAGTCACATTTTTAAATATTCGAACAGATTAAACATCGTCTCTTGTGCAATGAGGCGTCGGAACTTTGCAGATATTGTCTCAAATAGCAAACAAACATAATCGACCCAGTAATGTCACTGAAACATTTAGCGTGTAGTGCTCATCTTGAACAATTCACATTAGGTGAAGCATTACTTAGCGGATGACGTAATCCAGAAGGTATTTACATAGATACTGCCTTTACTGTGGGGTACCCTCAATTGATTTTCAGTTAGGACTGCCCCCACTCGAAGTGTTACCAGTTCACTGTAGTTGTTGGCACAATCATTTAAAATTTTCAAATTATTTTACGAAAGTGACTGAAAATAGCGGACCAATCATTAACATTCTGAGGTATTTATATTCTTTCTCATACGCGATACTCAATACTCCACACTTAAAAACACATAAATAAAAAGGCGAAATTGGGTGGGATTCACTCAATGTAATGGGTATTTTGGACGTTCTTTGCATACTGTTTTTGAATTACAGGCACAGATATACCGTTCGACTTTGCACAACAAGATGACTTCTGTGGTACAATCGTGTATGACGTGGTGGCTTCAATCCTCGAATCACTGTTTGCAGGTGAGTCCAATGTAACAGT